AGTTGAAATGTTAGAATTAGAGATGTTAGTTAACTGTTATGCTAATTGAATGTTAATAGCATTTGAAAAATAGTTATGGTTAGCTAACTGTTAGCATTTTGTTCACATTCATAAGTAATTGGTTGCTAGTTACTGTGATTGCTTAAGTTTGCTAGTTACCAGATTAAATTGAATGTTTGCTAGTTACTGTGATTGCTTAAGTTTGTACTAGAACTGTTTATATAGTGTTTGCCCAAGCATAAATTATAAGATTTCTGAATATTTCAAATGCATGATAATAGGCTGGCTTATTTTTTTAGATTATATTACTGTTTCAACTTTCAAGGATGGTGTACATCCTATACCTTTTGTTCATACTATCATTTTGTATTTTAAAATTTAATGTATTATGGCTTTTAACTATGAGTTAATGTAGGACATGAACATAGTCAATGAGGAGAGTAGATGATGATAGGAATGTAACGTTGAATGAGTTCTTTTTTATTAGATATAAACAACAAATATTTGTGAAAACGCATCAGAGGGGGCGTAATTCTGATTATAGAGAGAGGAAATGGCAAGCATGATTGCTGATTTTTCTTTTACGAAATGGAATGTTAATAAAATATGATTTTGTCTAATATTAATCAATAGTTATAATGAAAATTTCATTTGTATATGCAAAGTGGCCCATGCTATTAGAAGTATGATTATCAGTGTGCTTTACTGCATATATGCAAAGTGGTCCAAGTTGATCTTGAAATTTAACACACATTTTTCCACAATTGGAAATATATATATGACTCTGAATTTTTCTATATATCATCTCTATCTAATGCAGGATAGTTTACTATTCACGCTTAAATTTCCAACGTGCAGTTTTATAGTAGTTCAACTTATTATATCCTAATTAATTGGCTAGTTTTAAACCAGTAATTTGAACTGTTATATCAAGTTAACTTGCTAATTGTATGCTAACTGAATGCTAATTGAACTGTTATATCAAGTTAACTTGCTAACTATATTAGAGTGTTATTTGTTATGTTAGTTGAAATGTTAGAATTAGAGATGTTAGTTAATTGTTATGCTAATTGAATGTTAATAGCATTTGAAAAATAGTTATGGTTAGCTAACTGTTAGCATTTTGTTAGGATTGTTAGAGGTTAGTAAAATTGGTTCATTTAACTGTTAGGCTTAGACAACTAGGTGATTAGTTAATGGTTTGAACTTGTTAGAGAGTTTGAACTTGTTTGTTTTATGACTGAATAGTGATATTAAGTTGTTAGTTATATAATATGTTAATCCTGTGTTTGTTGATAGTTAAATTATTTTATGTGTCAATATTGTGTTAGTTTGTAAATAATAGTGTATCCTTATGTGTTTATACATTTTATTTATTTATAAATGTATTGATGCATGTTTAAAATATTGTAATTAAATTATACTAAAGGTATGGACAAAGCATGGACTAAACTCCCAAGACACTGGAAGAAGTATAGAAAAGGTGTTAAGTCTTTTTTAGATTTTGCCTATACCACAGGAAGACCTCAAGGACGTGAAATTTCTTGTCCTTGTGCTCATTGTGCAAATTGTAAATGGGAAAGAAGACACGTGGTCCGCGATCATTTAATAGCTGTAGGTTTTGTGAAAGGATATGATGTTTGGGTAAACCATGGAGAGGATATACCATCGCCTATGAAAATTAAGGAGGGCACAAAAGAGCAAGAGAACTCACTTGATGACATTGGTGGTTTATTGTATGACACATTTAGGAATGTGGTTGAAGCAGAGGAAAGTAGTGAAGCTCACAATGAGGATGCGAGAAAGTTCTACAAGTTGATTAATGAGGCAAAACAAGAGTTATACCCCGGATGTGAAAGCTTCTCTACTCTATCGTTCATAATTCCACTTTACTTGTTGAAGTGTCTGCATGGATGGAGCAATGCATCTTTCACTTCCCTTTTAGAATTATTGAAAGAAGCGATTCCAGAATTAAACATTCCTGAATCTTTTAACAAAACAAAGGCGATGATCAGTGATTTGGGTCTCGATTACAAAAAAATTCATGCATGTCCGAATGATTGCATGTTATATTGGAAAGAACACGAGAACAATAACTCTTGCAATATTTGTAAGGCTTCACGATGGAAGGAGTTTCCTCAAGTAGAGAGCGAGTCTTCTGAGCATGCGAAATATGATCATAAAATCCCTGCTAAGGTTTTGAGACATTTTCCATTGATTCCACGATTTCAAAGGTTATTTATGTGTTCAAAGACAGCAAAGGAAATGAGGTGGCATGAAGAAGAACGCTCAAAAGATGGAAAATTAAGGCATCCTGCGGATGGACAAGCATGGAGGGATTTTGATAGACTTCACCATGACTTTGCTTCTGAGCCTCGTAACATAAGACTTGGCTTATCAAGTGACGGCTTCAATCCATTCTGGACCATGAGCTTATCACACAGTACATGGCCTGTCATGATGGTAGTATACAACTACCCTCCTTGGTTGTCCATGAAATCTGAATATACAATGTTGTCATTGTTGATTCCTGGGCCACAATCACCGGGGAATGACATTGATGTGTACCTTCAGCCATTAATTGAGGAGTTAAAGGAGTTATAGGAATTAGGAGTAGACACATATGATGCCTCAAAAAATCAAACATTTAAACTTCGTGCAGCACTCCTATGGACAATTAGTGATTATCCTGGGTATGCTATGTTATCAGGTTGGAGCACCAAAGGAAGGTTTGCATGTGCGTGTTGCAATCATAACACAGAATCATCATATTTAAAAAATAGCCACAAGATGTGCTACATGGGTCATCGTGTCTTTTTACCAATGAGCCATGCTTGGAGGTTAAATAAAAGGTCCTTTAATGGAAAGAAAGAACTTAGGTCTGCCCCTTCTTTGTTAAAAGGGACAGATATTTTGGAAACCTTGAAAGATTTTCGGAATGAGTTTGGTAAAACAAAAAAGAAGAAAAAAGATGGTCCATGGAAGAAAAAATCAATATTTTTTGAGTTACCTTATTGGGCTGAAAATACATTACGTCATAATCTTGATGTGATGCACATTGAAAAAAATATATTTGATAATATTATTGGAACTCTTTTAGACATACCAGGGAAGACAAAAGATCACGTTAATGCTCGTTATGATTTGAAAGACATGGGAATAAGAAAGAAGCTTCATCCAAAAGAGATTGGTGGAGGTCGTGCAGAGATTGCAAAATCTTGTTTTTCAATGAGTGCACGTGAGAAGACTATTTTTTGTGGTGTTTTAAAGGCTGCCAAATTACCAGATGGGACTGCATCAAACATTTCAAAGTGTGTGCAAGTTAGTAATAAGAAAGTGTTTGGCTACAAGAGTCATGACGCATATTTCATGTTACATTACTTATTACAAGTAGCAGTAAGAGGCACCATGCCCAATGCAGTGGCTGAACCTCTAATTCACTTAGGGTCATTTTTCCGCTCTTTGTGTAAAAAAGTTATCCGAGAGCAAGATTTGAATTTCTTAGAAGCTGAGATTGCAGATATCCTCTGTCAACTGGAGATGATTTTTCCTCCAAGTTTTTTTGATATAATGGTTCACTTGCCTATTCATTTGGTAAATGAAGTTAGATTGGGCGGTCCAGTTCAATTTCGTTGGATGTATCCCACTGAAAGAAACTTATGCAAACTTAAAAGTTATGTTCGTAATAGAGCTCATCCTGAAGGATCTATTGCTGAGGCATATTTGGCTGAAGAAGCTTTGACTTTTTGCTCAAGATACTTGCATGACAATGTAGACACAAGGTTAAATAGAAAGAGTCGAAATTATGACAATAGTGACTTGTGTGATGTGGATTTAAGCGATTACTTTTCATGTATTGGTCGTTCCTTATGTGGGAAGAAAAATGGTAAACCATTTTTTCTAGATTCAACTACAAAATCCCAAGCCCACCGATACCTTTTGTTCAATTGTGATGAGGTTAACACATTCATCAGGTACCATAATATATTAAGTTCATTTATAAAACACACACACACACACACACACATTAGTGTTATTTTCTAATAGATGGTAAGTTATATTTGTAGGGAGCATGATGATATTGTCAATAGTCAAACTAAAGGACGGAGGTGGGTCAAGGCCAAAACCCAAAGTCACGATTTTAGTGAATGGTTTAAAACTTGAGCCTTGAAAGATGATGTATCAATTCAGAGGTCCATGTGATACAGCAAAGAGGTTTTCAGGCTACCTCATCAATGGATATAGATTCCATACTATGAAACGAGATGCAAGACGCAAAACTCAAAATTCAGGTGTAACTTTGGTTTCATTGACTCCAAGTTTTGCAAGCTCTAAGGATGAAAATCCTAGGATGAAAGCTGTAACTTATTATGGAGCAATTAGAGATATAATTGAGTTAGACTATTACTCTCAATTCAACTTTGTTTTGTTTGAATGTGATTGGTTCAAGGCAGAAGAAGACAAATATGGGCTTACTTGTGTATATTTCAACAAAAAATGTTACCAAAATGATCCTTTTGTTCTACCATCTCAAGTGCATCAATGTTTATATATCCAAGATCCACTTGATGAAAGTAGGCAGTATGTCATGAAAACAGATCCTAGAGATTTATATAGTATGGGTGACCTATCAGATTCAATGGTCCAAGAATCTTATCAAAGTGATCCTTTCGATGGTGAACTTAATTGGGTTAGAGAAGATATACCTGGAATAATTGTTGATAAGCCTCCATCTTTTATGGAAGAAGCAAGATATGAAGATGATTCTGATTTTGACAATACTTTGTTGGACTAGTAGAGCGATGGGGTCTAAGTCATTCATTTTATTTACTGTTTTGCATCAATGTAAAAATTTGGAAGTAAGTTTTTTCATAGATATGATTTCATATATATGATAAATTTAATGGTAAAATGCTTACTGTTTTGTATCAATGTGACTTCTCTTGTCCATTTTTGTCTATCTCTAAATGTTTTTTATGTTTAAATATTTTATAGGACAAATGAACAAGGAAGAAAACAAGAAAAATATGAAGTGTCATGTGAAAGGTCAGAGGGGTGCTTCCAGTTTTGAGCTACCACTAGTCAAATCAAGTTTTGAATTGGCAAGAAATTTCAGCATCAAACTGGAGGAAAGAAAGACCAAACATGGAAAAATATGTGCACCTATAACAGAACTTGAAACAGAAGTTGAAGCTCTTAGGAACAAAAAAAACCAGCCATTAACTACTCCACAATTCAAGTTATCTATGTTTGCAGCAACTTCCAACAAAGAGCCTGAGCCAAAGAAAAATGTTTCAGATAATGCAAGTAGGACTAAACTACCTAACACTCATGCTGAAAAAAGTATAGAGAGGGAAGTATCTTTAAAAACAAACAAAGGATTGAAGATTCAAGATCCAAAAGATCAATCTTTGATTTCTAAAAGGAATCAACCTTTAGTTTCTAAAATCCAAAATTCAAAAGGACAGTCTTTGTCTCAAGTTAGAAGATCTATGCCTATGCATATTCAGGTTCCAAATAGGCAATCCATGAAAAAGACGGTAATTGGAGATGAGTCAAGGGAAAAACATGAAATTAACAATAAGAATCAACAACAAAAAAAGAAAATGTTTGGAAATGACATTTCAAGGGCAAAAGATCAACAGAAGAAAATGGTAGTGGCTGAAGAGGAATCAATGGCAAGGCAACAAAGTGCTTGCAAGAAGACAAAAAGAAGTCCTTTGTGCCAATCAATGTTAATTGGTGACTTTCTTGAAAAAAATGGAAGAGGTGTTGAGAAGGAGATGGAAAATTTAATTGAAGATGAGGAAAACATTGTTCTAGAAGAACAAGAACAAGAAGAAAATGTGGAATGTGAGGGAGACGCAGAAAAAAATGGTGATGTTTCATTTTATTTAATTTATTTTATTACTCATATGTGTGTGTATTTGATAATTTATCTTAAATTATATTATTTGATGTCAAAACAGGGACAACTAAGAAAAGAACACGGGGACCAACGCGTTGTTTAAAAATATATGCAAGAGATGTAAAAGACCGTCAAGAAGTTACTCTAGATGACTTTGGAGAGCCAATTGGACCTGATGACCAAACTGTTTCTGACTTAGGCTATTTCCTCGAAACTATAGCAAGGAATGCAAATTTTTGTCCATTGATCTATACAAATTTTAAAGAGTTGCTTAAAGATGAAACAGATCCTAAGCGTCATAATTATCATATTTGGAAATATATTAATGTATGAGAAGTAAAATTTCATAATTTTTTAATGATCAATTATCTATAATTGATGACAAACATTGTTTTATTCTTGCAGACGAAGTTCAACATTCCTGAGAGAGGAAAAAAAGCAGTGTATGCTCGAATAAACGATGCTTGGAGACGCCACAAATACTCTATCAAGAAAGATCATTTTCTAAAGTACTCTAATATGAAGGATAGATTAAAACACCGTCCAAAGAGCATATCTGAAGTTCATTTCAAGAAATTGTTAGTATATTGGAAAGATACTCATATTCAAGTAAGTTATTTATCTCTGTTGTCATAACTTTAGTACATGCTCTTTTGTGTTGGATTTTGGTTTTCAAATCTGGACTTGGAGGCAGAGGTGTTGCTCTAGCAAATTCTATATCTCTGCTGTCATAACTCTGCTGTCATATTCTTGGTGGCTCTGAAATTTGAACATAGAAACAGTAAAGATTTTTACATTATTTTGTAAATTTATTTGGTTTAGCTTATGTATTTTGAAAGAGAGCCTTGCCACAACTATTCTAGTTAAAGTTTGATTATTTATGTTTTGTCAAAAGCACACTTGGTGGTAATTATGGAATACCTAAAGTAAACTATAACATAAGACAGTGAGAATATTATAGATACTTATTAAGAAATTGTGTTAGTTGTTAATCATGTGTGTGTTTGTGTGATGAGCTATATCTTATCATGAACTATTTGCTAAATCTTATTTATAGTGAACTATAAGTTGTTTGTCATTTTTGGCTAACAACCCAATTTTTATTTTATTTTTATTATAGGATATTAGCCAAAAGAATGCAGCTAATAGGAGCAAGCAAAAGTTTATGCATCGTGTAGGACCGACAAATTTTGCTAGAATTCGTGCAAAAATGGTATGGTATTTGTGCGTGATTCTCAATAGAATAATGTGTTTTTTCAATCTCTTATTAACTAATATTTTGTATTTTTAATATATGAATAATAATGTAGCGGGAAAACAAGGATGGACAAGAAGTCACTCATGCTGAGATGTTTATTGAAACTCGAAAAAGTCGCAAGGCAAAACAAGTGGATGAGGAAACCCAATTTGTGATTGTAAGTTAAATTAAATCCATTTTAATTGCACATGTAGTTTTTAATTTTGTTCAAAATTGATAGTTTGATATATTAGGATAAACTTCAAGAATCTATTGAAACTTCAACTGAAGCTGGAACATAAACATTTTAATCACTGCTTGGAAAAGAAAAACCCGGTAGAGTGAGATGTTATGGAAGAACTGTTACACCATCATTGTTGAAAAAAAATGAAGAAATTTCTTTAATAAAAATGCAATATGATGGTAAAATTTCTGACATGAATCAAAAGATGGGAGCAATGGAGGCACTTTTGAAAAGCATGTATATGCAACAAAATCCACATTTAAGTGAAGAGGAAGTAAACGATAAGATGAGAGAAGCCTTGCACAATGATAATATTCCAACACCGCGCTCATCGACATCAACCTATGCTCCTGCTCATCAAAAGGTACTACAATTGATATTAATTAAAATTGGCATTTATTTTACTAAGTGTTGAGTTGGTATTTCTTTAGTATACTAATTTATGTTGCTTATATCAAGTTCTCCCCTAGGATTAGTTAGTATTTTCTTACCAAATTTTGTAACTATGTCCATCATACTACCAATTTTTACAAATTCTGCTATGCTCAATGGTTGAAAAAAGTTGCATCTTCAATCAGTTCACTATGTGAAGTCTTTTAGGCTTTGGTAGCAAAAGTTGCATCTTCAATCAGAATCATTGAGCATCTAATTTAGTATATATGTGAGTGAGTGAATATAAACAAGTCTAGCCAAGGCAACTAAAGAAACCAACAAGAAAGTGAGTTAGAACAAATTATGTACCAGGTATTGTAAACTAGCATGACCTTCATGTTAACTTAATAAGCATAGTTGTAAATTCTCCAAGTTTCTGCAATGCCTACCATGCAGTCTATGCATACTTGTGAATATCTACTACTGTCGGTAATTTTAATTATGCTTTAAACATTAATCTTTTAAAACATATGAAAACTTCCGTAGAATAAAAGTTATATAATAAAAAAAATCATACAAATCAAATCAAAAGATTATATTTTATAAAGCAAATTATAAATATATAAAAACATATTTGTATTTAGATAAATATATTATTAAAAAATATCCATGCATAGTATGTATCATTAATATGTAGATTTGGGACATGGGTCTTGGTGGTAAGTACCAGCCTGATTTGTTGTCGTTATTAATTTGTGATTATATTTGCTTTTACAAACTACTACAAGTACATATATAGTACCACCTTCATCAATTAATATCAATATGAATTAGACAAAACTCTATATCGATGTGAAACACAAGAAACATATATATTTGAATTTGGGGCTGTGTTAATTAGAAACATATATATTTGACTTTTCAAACCAGTTGGGATAAAAACGTGTTTGCATGTATAATCAAAATCTTACTATTAGGTATGAATAATGTCATGATTAATCAGGATATAATTGAGTTAGCTAGGTAGCGTCTATGATAAGATAATATGTATATTAATAGATGCTCTAGGAATAATCTTTCTATACTTGTAATAGTCTTAGAATATTTAAAGAATGAAATGAAACATGTTTGTTTAGTTTAGTATTATGTGTTATGTGTTACTATGTGTTTATTATGTATATGTATGTGAGTATTGTCATTTTTCATGGTCAAAGTAAAAATGTTTAAATTTGACTATTCTTTACAGGTTATAAATGAAGATGATCCTCAAGATGAACAAGATGGCGTTCTCCAAGATGACGACGATCTTCAAGATGATGATGATCTTCATTATGATCTTGATGACGATCTCCAATATGATCAAGATGACGATCTTCAATATGATCAAGTTGACGGTTCTCAAAATGATGATTCTCATGATTCTCAGTATAATGAATATAATGAAGACCTTCACTGATTCAAATATAGACAATTATTTTTTGTTTTATGGAGTTACACAAACCACCTAATTAGTTTATTATATTTCAAAGAGTTTGGATTTATTTAGAAAATATTTGTTCTTACATTTCAAAGTGTTTATTACACTTCATCATATTAATACTTCATATTTATATGTTTTGATTAATTTATACATGTGTTTCTTCTCATTTAATTAATAATATTGACTTATACTATATTAGAATAAAATGAAGGTTTATGGTTGAAATGTATCACCATATAAATGAATAGGAAATTTTTTAATAATTATATCTGTAAGTTTAAAGTTAATTAATATTTATCAAATATTTTTCAATTTATAGGAAACGCTTTTTAAGGGTTGCTTATTAAAAACCGTGGATTTTTCCTAAGTTTTAGGCGCGGTTCTTTAAATGAAATTATAAGTTATCTACGGTTTTTATTTGTTGCTTTTTTATAACCGTTGTATATTCACGTTTTGGGGACGGTTATTTTATGTTGTTACTAGAAAACCACGGCCTAAAAGTACAACTAAAACCGTGGAATTTGATGATTTACGCGACGGTGTTTTTAATCCGTGGTTAAAAATTAAAAAACCGCGCTCTAAAGGAATAGGCAACAGCAGTTTATTCCACGTCTGATAAACCGCCCCCTAAAGGTTTAGGCTACGGTTTTTTCACTTTAGGTTGCGGTTTTGAGTTGTTGCCAAAAGTCATTTTTGTTGTAGTGTTTGTATATGAAAAATGCCTTTATTTCATGATTAAAACAGTGCAATACACATAATCAAGTAGCTCTAAGGTAAAATCACTATGCCCCGGGTAGGACATAGGATTATTCAACAATTGACAAAACAAATCGTTACTGTTTAAGAGTCACTGGGACAGTTTCCCGGATGGACCAGTTGCAGATACTTTGTCCTAGCACGCTTGGCTTGATCCACGCATCCATATCGCAGTCGCTATCTCTGTCTTCAGCATCGGAAACATCGTTGATTGTCTCAAAGCACACTCCGTTTAGCGTAATCGTGACCGGTCCTTTGAACCTGGGCGCTCCTGAAGATGACGCTGACGACGTCAGTCGATACCCTAGCCCAAACTTGTCATTCTTCACGGGAATCTCCAGAACCTGCCCCCAGCCTTTAGTCTCACCAGTCTGCACTAAGGCCTGAGCCTCTTTGTAGGATGACACTGCCACCTCCGATACTTTGCTGGAACCCTGAGCTTTGTCTTTAATCCGCAACCCTTCGAAGGCTTGACAAGGTGTCTCGTGTATTTCTCCGTCGACCTCAACATATCTGAACGATGACAGGTGACTGACCAAAATGTCCTCCTCCCCGCAAACGGTAACAACACTATCACCCACCATGTACTTCAACTTCTGATGCAATATGGACGTTACGGCCCCTGCAGCGTGGATCCATGGGCACCCAAGAAGGCAGCTATAAGCTGGATGGATATCCATGATGTAGAATTCAGTATCAAAAATTTCCGGCCCCACCTGAAGCGGTAATGTTATCGACCCAAACACTGATCTTTTCATCCCGTCAAACGCCCTCACAACCAAATCGCTGGGCGTGCAAATAATTCCCCGTATGTCCAATTTCATCATGGCTTTCTTTGGAAATACGTTCAACGACGATCCAGTATCCACCAATACGCGCGACATGACGGTGCCTCGACATTCCACCGATATATGCAAAGCCATGTTGTGCTCTCGACCCCTGGGTGTTAGATCAAAATCTGTGAAACCCAGGCTATGTCCAGCATTGACATGTGCCATTACCCCCTCTAACTGATTTACAGAAACTTCTTGAGGCACAAATGACGTATCTAGAATCTTTAACAAGGCGTTCCGGTGGGCCTCGGAACATAACAACAACGACAAGATAGAAATCTTCGATGGCGTCTGTTGCAGGTGTTCAACAATTTTGTAGTCGCTTTTGCGAATCAGTCTCATGAACTCCTCTACGTCCTTGAGCGATGTATCCTTTTCTTTTGACTGAGTAGGACCGCTTTCACTTACTTTGGCTTTGCCTTTGGCCAATCTCTCTGCTTCTACTTCAGGTAAGGTAAAGATCCTTCCGCTACGGGTCATGCCCCCCGTTCCAACGACATTATCAACAGCCCCAACTGGCTGGCTATTCATCACAATCTTTTCGCCGTTGCAATATGCTTCTAATCCGTATATCCACGGGACAACTTTCGTACTCTCGAAGGGAACAGACCCTGCTTTGGTAATCGTAATAGTTGGCCGCTGGGCGGCCGTCGTTATTGTTATAGTCTTCCTCATGATCGTCACCGTTGCAATATCATTCTGCTTATCACATACTGCCTCCATAGGCTTCTCAACCGCAGTTCGATCAAATTGCAAGGTCCCTTCGTCGATCATGGCCTGAATGCCCCGCTTCAAATCAGTACAACCCTCAGGCTGGGTCCAACACTCTAAATAGTATTCATCACAACCAGGGAATACTCCCCCTCTGAGCAACCTGCTTTTCACCTCACTCAATGGTGTCTTCAGTTCGTTAACATCCATCACCAAGTTCAAATTTTCTTCTGTCAAGATGGCATTTGCCCCATGATTAGGCATAGGCTGTTGTACAATATTGGGCCCCACCTGGCCAAAGTTGATGGCTTTACTGTCCAACAAGTCTTGAACTTTATGCTTGAAAGCATGACAAGATTCTACATAATGTCCGGGCGCCCCGGAATGGAATTCGCAATGCTTATTAGCGTCATACCCGTAAGGAAGTACCGGTCCTGTAGGCGGTTCCAATGTTCTTTTCTAGACCAAATTCAACCCCAGCAGTGTCTGAAGAAGCTCTGCATATGTCGACGGAGGCTTATCAAATACCCTCTTCGGCTTCGCATTCTGAAACTTTCTTTGGCCCTGATTCTGCCTTTGCTGCTGCGGCGGCTGTTGCTGCTACTGTTGTTGTTGAGGTTGGACTGGAATAGTAACACTGGCTATTTGTTGAGGTTGCATATACTGATTTATGCCTCTGCCCCGGCCTCTGCCACCAAATACAGCGCTTGTATCACCCTGTCGTCTTCTGCCGAACGCTTTTCTCGCACCCCCAGCTGGAGTAGATTCGCCCGCCTGAATCTTTCCAATTTTAATTCCATTTTCGATCCTCTCTCCCATAAGGATCATATTGGAGAAGCTACCCATCGAAACATTGAGTAACTTGTCATAGTACATTCCTGTAAATGTCCCCACAAACATGTCATT